TTATTTACACGAGTTGTCTCGGGAGCAAATTTGCGCAACATCAAGCGTTTGTTACTTTCATCAATATTGATGGAAAATCGTACTTTATCATCATTTATACAAATTTGAAATTTATTCTGTGATATATTCTTCAATCATGCAGAAAAGAGATTACAGGTGTTATATTTAATAATTAATATATTATTTTTTAATTATAAATTATAATATTTGATCACGATAAATATAAGAGTTAGAATTGCAACCAGTAACATGAAGAGCTTAATGCTTAGTTTTGTAAAAATATTTAGTATAAAAGAGACATAAAGAGACACCACTATTATTGTTTCAAGGAGGTGATATTAATAGCGTGCAGACTGTAGACAGAATAAAACCATAACGATCTGGATTTTGTCATCTAACCGGTAATTTGCAAAGTAGACTAACAGGTGTGCCCTAAAATTAAAAGTCAAGGCACAAACAAAATTGATCACATGTCCATCACAATGGTAGGAATTTGGTAAATTCTTAATCTTGACGTTTTCGTTTTTACTTAATATTCTGTTTTAATACTCAGATAGTAGTAACAGAAGACGAAACTGTCTGTGTAGAGTTTTGTAGTACTCATTTTGCCATAATATGAATCTTGGTAGATGTAATTTCACCTGAAGAAAGAGCCATGATTGCAGGTAATCTTAGTTTATAGTTTACACCATCTATTATTGTAAATGTGAATAAAAGACAAGTGTTACTGGGTTCTTGTGCTATAGAAGACCTGTTTGTTTTAAGTAATAATGTATCTTCTTATAGCCGTCAGGTTTGAATTCATAATTTAACCTGCTCTTACCCTGGAACAATGGGAAAAAGAAAATATTAAGTTACATTATATGATAGGTATATTGTATATTAAATATTTGTTTGTGTTTATTATGTTTTGTCCATATTATAAATTGCATTAAAATATTAGTCAACTTTAAGTCTTGTAACAGTAAAATAATAATAAGTCATAATTAAAAAGCACATTAAAACATTTGTCAACCTAGTCTATCAACAGTAAATCATAATAAAATCACATTAAAATATGTCAAACTAAAGTCTACTAACAGTAAAATAAAAATAAATCATAATAAAAAAAGGACATAGGTATTAAAATATTAAAAATATATTAGTTATATTACTAGGGTTGTAGTTAATAAGTTAGTATGCATCATTGAAGTATGTATGTTTTGTACTTGTCCTCTTTTTAGAAATTTTCACATTTATTCCTACAATCATAATCTAACTTTCTACCACAAATCAAGCTTCTGTTTATCACCAATATTTTATTTACAGGTTCCTTATTTTTCTATTTCTATTATTTTCGTTTTCCCTGCAATATTTGAAGTAAGAACTGCTATGTTTATTCATTTCTGCTATTTTCTCGGTTACTGCACTTTATTTGCAATAAGGGACGATAATACTCCTATTCCAGCTTTTAATTGGTTTTTATTTGAATTAATTGTTCACATTCTTTGTCCGTATTTGTATTTATTAAGATTTTTCTATTAGATTTATTTCTGCAGCAGGAACTAGAATCTCTTTTTCTGTTGTTTCACACAAATTATTTCGAGTGTTTGATAAAGAAAGAATAGCACAGGCATGAATATGCTTGCATATATTTAATTTAATTATATAATCACTACATTCACAAGTATAATTATGGCATATATTACATTTGGTGCATAAAACCAATCAATATCTTCTGTGTTGCATATTACATACATCTATACTGGAATTACCTCATATGCCATGTTTGTTTCTCTAGCAGATATCTCCCATCGATTACCATCAATTACTAATAGATTCAGGGTCTATTTGTATTCAATATTAGGTCTTAATTATATTTTCTTCTTTACCAGTATATTTATTTTTAACCAGCAATACGTAACTGAACGAAGTCACGAAAAATTAAAAAAGCTGATAACAAAAGTATCAGCAGATCTATTGACTATTTTACGTCATTCGGCATGTTCATTGTGGGAATAATGTAGATTATTCTTTTTGGAAACTGCACTGTTTACTATTACTACAAAACTTGACTGTTATCAAAAAGATAATACATAAATAATTGAATGATATTGTAAACAAGATTTAAGATTTGATAATATCTGTGCCTTATGGTAATCAGTATTCAGTAATCACCAATGACAATTTAGAATAATGACTGATGAGTATCTTTTTTTAATATCTATGCATCAATAAGCATTATAATTTTTAGTTTTTAATTTTTACATTCTACTTTAATTTATTTAAGGAGATAAAATATTACACAAAATGCCATTAAAATATTCAATTTTATTGCCGACGTATAATGAAAAAGACAATTTACCTGTTATAGTTTATCTAATCCACAAATACTTGGAAATTAGGTAATACATTTTATTTATTTAATACATGTAGAATAAAATATTATTATTACTAATTATTTTTGAACTGAATATTAAATGTATCACATTGGTAATTAGTTAAGTTTAAAGAGATGATAATTGTCAATTACTCTCTATTATGTATTACATGTATATTATTAATTTTTTTTTTATAACTAGATATTTTAGATTTTTTATAAATGTATTATTAACTTAAATAATTTAATATTTTTATAAATTTACTATAGTACATAACTAGATGTAGGCTAAGTTCTTATATTTTTTCCAGACATGTAAATTAACAAGGAAATGCAATTAATATATATGAAAAAAGTGATGTAGTTAATGAAGATCTTCAACAATAATTTTTCGTTATACATAGTTTTCATTTAGGTCTAGAAATTATGAGTGGTATCAATAATTCTAGATCTTTATTCAAATTTAATGATGTCTTAAACTGTAAAACAACTACGTCGTCTAGCATTAAAACTAAAACTAATACTGAAAATACACAGAAATATGAAACTTTAGATTATCCAACTAATGCAATAAACTATTATAGTTTTTCATCAGATACAAGTGGAATGTATTATACTGATTCGGAAGGATCAAAAATGTTAGTTATACCTAAAAAAAACAATATTGTATATACGTCATCTCACTTATCTCCTAGTTCTGATTCTGATTATTATAAAGTCATGAATAATAAACCCTTAGCCACCAGTAGTCCTTTAAATAAATGTAATAGTATCATAAATTATAAAGACTGTAAAAAAACTTCTAAAAGAGTATCTAAATGTAAATTGTCTAATAATGATATAAGTATAATTAATAAAAGTAACGAGAATTCTGATAAAACTTTTTCTTTAAAAACAGCATGTTCTACTAATATTCCTAATTTATTGAATGAAACTAACTTAATGATGTATAACAATTTGTTAATATCTGAAAATCAAGGGAAAAAACAAGATTATACAACCTTTAATAATACAAAACGAGTTTCTCAGAAAAGTTTGAATGATGTGACAAACATACTATGTACAAATCAATCCCAAATAGCTTTACAGAAGCCTAGTCTTACAATAAATATGACATTCAGTAATGAAAGTAAAAACAATGCACTTCAATTGAATTTGCTATCCAATAAAACAGTAAATACAATAAAAAATAGAAAATATTCAACTAATAATAAAATTGACGAGAATGAAATACATAATAACAATTCAACCATAATATCTAAAAACTTGCAGATGACTAACAGTATTAATAAATATACAAAATTTGATGAAAATTGTCTAAATGACACTGATTTATCAGATATTTTTCAAATGGAATTAAGCCTAAAAATGTTTTCTGGAAATATTGTACCATACTTAAATACTATGAAGCATGAGATATTACAAATAATAAATAAATACATGTTTATACTTGACAAAAAAATAATTAAAAAATCTAAACATGTTAATGATATTATAAAAAATATTCATAATATTATGAAATTAAATATTTACAATTATACAGATTCTTTATCAAATAATAAAAAATATTCAACTATACCGTTTATAGATGTTGATATAAAGAATTTAAATCTATTGAACAATAAGTTGGAATGTATTAATAAAAAACTGGAGCCATTTAAATTCATATTATACGACAACATTTTAGATAAATCTATGGATAAGTTAAATGCACAAAATAACGTTTTGGATTTTAAGTCCTCTAACAATTTAAAGTCATTTAAATCTGCAATAAACAATAACATTGAAGTAATTTCATCAACTAAAACTGCAGAACTTGATTCATTTAGTTGTATGAGAGAATTAAATAAATCAAATTCTTTACTATCCTCTATTAATAATTGCATTGATATTAATGAATCGTCTGAAAAACAATTTTTAGAAAACTGCAGTTTAAAGAGTATAAATGAATTGCCAAGAAATGAAATTTCCAAAAGCATAACTCAAGATATTAATTATCTTTCTTATAATGAACTCCATACTGATAAATTGGTGTCTGTAAACAAAAATCTTTCTAGCAATTTTGAAGTTGCTAATTATAATGTCAATCCAGTAAAAAACAATCAAAATCGTTACTGGTTAAGAAATAATCGAAAATCTACTAAACAATTTATTGCACCTCTTATTAGAACATCAAAAAAAATGTCTAAAAAAACATGTATTAAGTCAAATTACAAAGATATATTTGTTTGTAAAGGCATTGGTAAAAAAAAAGTTATACTTCAGTATAAAATTAATTCAGTACTTAATGCTAATTCAGATGATTTAATGAAAAAAATCTGTCCAGAAAATGAGAATAAAAAGTTTAATAATGATAAACAAAGTACTACTGCTTTTAATGTTTCTAATTTGAAACCAAAAAAAATTGATAAACCTTGTCAGTGTGGTATATTTCCATCTCAAGTTCCTTCTTTTTGGAATGATACAAAGCATAAATCTTTACATAAAAATTTACATAAACTTCAGTTTAAGAGCAAAATGCCTGTAAATGTAGTAAATAAAATTAATAATAATGGATTTCTTTTTAATATAATAAAGATTACTGATAATCATGATGATTTAAACCTTAGACTTACATTGAAGAATATACAACATTATATTAATTTAGAAATTGATTTTTCTAAAAAAAATATTCATTATGATGTAAACCATTTGATATTTTTAGCTATAAATCCTGAATTCAAAATAATTGGATATTTAGAAATAGAGCCATTAATAAATGCATGTGTTTATCAAAATAATCAGCTTTCAAAAGAATTAATTGCAGTAAAATTTGGCGTATCTAAAGTATGGGTGATGGTAAAGTATAGGAATAATGGAGTGGCAACCAAATTGTTAAAGCAATTTTGTGATGAAGAACATTTAAAAACCAATGATATTGCTTTTTCTTTTCATGGAAATATTGGAATTTCCTTTATTAAAAAATATTTTGGAAATAATTCTGTTTTAATTTATTAAAATTAAAATATTTCTGTCTATCTATTTATTAATTGTGTTTAAAAAAAAAAAAAATTATAAATATAAACTTTTTTATTTATTATAAAATTAAGTATATTCAATTTTAACAATATTCTTTATATCTTTATACTGTTATACATAAATATACTTTAAAATATTTAATTAAATATTTGTCATATTTTGATTCATAGAAAAACATTAATTTAATTATTAAAATTATTTAAGTACTTGAATGAATAATTTTAATTTATCTGAAGCTTATATTGTTCATAATAATAATATATATTTATGTTCTTATCCTCAGCTTGTAATTTTTAACTATTATGTTAATTTTTTTCAGTTCTAAGCTTCTATAATCACTTTAAAAGGACTAAATAAATGTAATATTTAAGATTTTTTTACTATTTTCATAAACTAATTAATTAGACTTAGCAATAACTATAATTGACCATATAACTATAGCATTAATGAAAATTAAAATTGCATTAAAGAGATAGTGTTACAAATATAATGGTTTAACATTTGCACATAATAAATTTGATTGAACAAGAAAATCAAAATAAAGCAACTTATGAAATAAAATGTAAATCAAATTAATGAGTAAATAATTGCTCTGCTGTACAGTAAGAGTTGAGTATACTTAATCATTAAGTACTTAGGTCACTCTAATTAATGTGTTAAATTTGAATTCAATGATAGATCATTGCATACAAAATATAATTTAGATTGAAGATGGTTTTTAACCTATATTACTGTATTTATGTTAAGGTACTTAATCTATTTAAATATTTTACTATTAGTATAATCTTATAGTTATGAGTTAGCTTGAATTAATTTTTATCAACAACATTTGAATGTCAAAAGTTACAAAACTCACTAAAAGTATTCTTCATTATAATAAAATAATCAACATTCTTATCTTCAATTAATTCATGATTAATAAAATAATAATTAATTTAAATTAATTAAATACCTAATTAATAATATATTTTTCCGTGTATTTATATTGCCATTATAATAATTTATTTTACTAATATTAATACAATATAAATTAGCAATACTTTAAAATTAATTTAAATATTTAAAAAATGCCATTGTGTACAGTAAAATATGAAGTCCCCTTAAAAATTGCATTTTAAATTTTTAAGCATTAAGACCACGTTAAATTTCTTATCTATAATTTTAGAAAAAAGTTAAAAATTTCAAATTTCTAAGAGCTCAAAAAACATAAAAAAATATACCATGTATTGTAATTCATTTTTAATTATAATAATTGTTCTAGAACTTTTATTTTGCTTTTGACCCTCCAAACTAGATTTACTGTTCAATAAAAAAGGATATTGAATTTCAAGATATACAATGAATTCTATGCTCAAAAACAATTACAATTTTAAGTGTTAAACATTTTAATTTTAATTTTAAAATATTATTATAAAAAAAACAATTATTTTCATTAAAATGTACCTATGCAATTATAATTAATACATTTATGGTACCATTGGTTATAGTGAGATTGAGTATGAAATAATTATAATAGACGATGGCAGCCCTGATGGTACTTTAGAAGTTGCCAAACAACTTGAAACCATTTATGGAAAAGATAAAATAGTAAGAAATAAATTGGTATTTTAATGAACGTTAGTTAAAGATAAATCTTGTTTAAGTTATTAAGACCCAGAGGAAAAAAACTTGGATTAGGCACGGCATATATTCATGGAATGAAACATGCCACTGGGGATTTTATTATTATAATGGATGCTGATCTGTCACATCATGTAAGTAAAAATATATTTTATTTTATTTGTATTTAATTATAACTTATTTTTTTTAGCCAAAATTTATACTTGATTTTATAAAAAAACAAACTGAACAAGATTATGATGTTGTCACTGGATCACGGTATATTGGCAATGGAGGAGTTTCAGGTTGGGATTTTAAAAGAAAATTAGTAAGTCGTGGTGCCAATTTTGTTAGCCAAATATTATTGAGACCCAAAGTATCTGATCTCACTGGTAGTTTTAGGTAATTTCTTTTTTATATATAAAAATTAATCTCAATTGTAAATGCTTTAAATAGGTATATATTATATTGCATGATAAATTTTTGTTTTGTTTTCAGATTGTATAAAAAGCCAGTTTTGGAGAAATTGATAGAATCATGCATTTCAAAAGGATATGTATTCCAAATGGAGATGATGGTACGTGCAAGGCAATTAAATTATACTATTGGTGAAGTTCCAATAACTTTTGTTGACAGAGTTTATGGGGAGTCTAAATTAGGAGGATCAGAAATTTTTCAGTTTGTAAAGTCTCTGTTGTATTTATTTGCCACTACATAAAATCTTTCAGTTTAAAGATATTATAATATATAATATATATATACTAATCATTTGCCAATATTCTAAAAGGAATAACATTGGTTAATGTTTATTAATGTTGTTGTTTTAAGCTGTTAAGAACTAATTATGATTAATTTTTAGTCCTCAACAGTTGATATTCTATTTATTTTTAGATATTTCTTCTATTTTCTAAGTTATTATGGCATAACATACTAATGGAAACTAAATTTCATAACAATTTATGTACAAAAAATACATGTAAACTGTAATTAATAATCTGATAAAAAAAGATGTATTAATAATGGATGAAACCCTAATAAAAATAAATAAAATGTATTTGTATAAAATTGGATTTGAATATATTTTTGTGTATATAATAACCTATTATTTAAACATTTATTTTTTATTGTATTTTTAAAAATGAAATGAAATAATAATTGTAATTAATCAATTTAAATTGCAATTATATATTTTATTAAATCATATAATTTGCACATACATATTGAAAATCAAAAAAAAAAACATTAAATTGAGTAATAAAAATAATTAGCCAGGTGGCCATCCTAGTTGGCGACCACCAAGGACATGCAAATGTAAATGATAAACCGATTGAGCACCATCTTTTCCATTATTAACTACTAAACGAAAACCGTCATTTAATCCTTGTTCTTTTGCTAATTTGCTCGCAACCAACATCAAGTGTCCAAGCAGCTGAAATCAAAAATTAATTTTAATATAATATAAGAGGCTAATTTTGTTATTTATTTGTATATTGCTATTATTTTTCATATACTATTCGATGTGTTTAATAATTTAGGAAAATAAAGCATAATAATATATATTTTAATTATTAAACTACCGTTTCATCTGAGCTGTCAGCAGCCGACAACATTTCAATTGGTTTTCTTGGTATTACCAAAAAATGAACAGGTGCTTGAGCATTGATATCATGAAATGCAACACACTAATAAAAATAATAAAAAATATTATGCATTAATAAAAAACTACTATTAACTATAGTATCAGTGTCATTTATTAGTTGGTAATAGAAAATTATAAAGTGAACACCCAATCAGTAACTGTTGGTACATTTTTTTTTTTTTTTGCTCTTTACAAAAGAAAAAAATTATAATATAATAAGGAAATTAATGTTTTGACATTTTTACTTATTAGAATAACAGCTGGAAATTTGTCACTTGTTCTTAATAATTATTATTTATATAGTGAGCTGTGATAATTTATACATATAAATTAACATACAATTAAAGTCATTCTCTGTAGGGAGATCTGGTCCTTAAACCGACAGGGTTATGTTATGTACAGAATCACAGAGCTTGAAGCAACATCTCTCGAGCTATCACAATACTGTCATTATTTTATAGTAATATAGACTTGATTTATTTTTTAATTAATAAAATACTTAATATTTCATTGAACAACCATAAAATTGTATTGAAATTATTTATCAATTAATTCGTACAACTGGGTATAGGCAAGATATAAATTAAAATAGATTGGTAAAAACTAAAAAGCAATGCATTTCTATTAGATGATTGAGATAGGAATGTTCAATTATATTGTCATAGCAAAACTGTTTAAAAAGACTAAACATAAAAATTATTAATTCACGCAAACATTATCACTAAATTTGAAAGAAAAACAATTTCTCATGTTATATACATGAAAAAAAATATTTTACAAAGATATTTTCATTAAATTTACCAAAAAACAATTAGTGATTGATAACTTTTTTTATTGACTATATTTAAAACTACTTCATTAGGTAGTTAATAGTTACATCATAGATTATACACAAATATAAGTAAAATATATTCATATAGTTTGTGATTACACTTACTCGGTCATCTTCGTATATGAAGTTACACGGTATTTCCTTCCTAAGAATTTTACCAAAAATTGTATCACCGCCAGGTGAAGCGCTTAAAGATTTTTCCACCTCTGACATTTTAAACCTAGGACTTGAAATTTTAGTAAAATTATAACTGCTCGTTCGATAACTACACTTAGATAAATTACTAATTTGTACTACAGATATAAAATTCAGTAATTTTCGACTAAAAGCATACATGATATTTAAAAATGATAAATAAAACATTAAATATATATATATGGGTGAAAAAATTCTTATCAAAATTAAACTAGCTCTTGATGTATCACACAGTGTAGTCAAATGCTGGAAATTCGAATATGGCAATATGGCAAAAACAGAAAAGCAAAAAAAAAAATCAAAAAGTTAATTATTAAGATACCAAATTAGCAATTACTAAAATACTAAAATATTTACTTAATTCACAATTCTTTTTAGCTTATAGGTACCAACTTATAAAAATATTTCTATTTCAAAATAATACTGAGAATAAATGTTTGTTTGGCATATATTTATAGATGTATTTACCATTTATGTTTAGAAAACAAGGAAATATAATAGTTAAAATTAACTAAATTTATTGAATAATAAAATAAATAAATAACTATAACCAGACACCCGTGTATGCGATCAGAATATGTGTATATACATATATACTACAATAGCAGAATTACCCGACTTCGCTCGTGAACAGTTTTGAAAGAAATTGTACTAAATCTATTTAATTAAACTAATTATTTAGTTAAAAAATTTAATTTATTTTTTTAAATTTACTTGCGTTTTTTTTTTCTATTTTTTCAAATTTTTTTTTTCTCTGCCCGTGAAATTAGTACTTGGAAAATAATAATAAATTCTTTTTTTTGAAAATTTTTTTACAAAAGCTATGATAATACTTTTGAGTATACTATATTGGTGGGTAATAGAATAAATTGTGCATTTTTTTTTCACCAACCCTTAATAAGGCCGCCATACAGTTGTCCATGAGCGAAACAGTTATGGCATAAATCTATGTCGACGCACTCAAAAGATTGCCCTTGTGCTTAATTGATTGTCATCCTAAAACAAATTTTTTCTGGGTATCCTATACGTTTGAATTGAAAGGATGGATCCGTTAGAATCATGGAAATTCTCGGTATAAGTTAACGCTCACCGATAACAGTGCCTGTAAACATTTTAGTTTCTATTATATTATTTTTAAAGTTTATTACTTATACTCTTATAATCGATAAATTTGTCGGAACAACTGATATTCACACGCAGATGATATCAAACACGTGATTTCAAATTTGACGGATAAAAAATTCAGAACTATCAACTCAAATTACAAGAAGCTGGAAACCTACGGTCCGCCGCGCTGCTTATAGGTATAAAATTTATAATTATTTTAATTATTAATAACTTATTATCTACTAACTTTATCGGACTAAATCCATACCTATGACATACGCGTGATCTCAAGAAACACATAAAAAAAAAACCGATCAATATTGAACCGATAGTTATTGAGTTAACTTTACACAAAAAATGCGCTTACAGCTATAATATTTTATGACTTGGGTTATGGACATATTAAATACACAATAGAGCCAATACGGCAATACAGGATCAAAATTGTAAATGTACCTACCTAGTATACCTATTGGATAAATATTAGACTTCTTTAATAATACTATAATATCTTTAAATAAATTAGAATAAAATAAAATAATTAAAATGGTACTAGTAAAAAATTCTTGGAAAACTAATATAATTTTATTCTTTTATTTTTTTAACCACAACATTTCGTATAATTATGTCATAATGTTTAAGACACAAATCACATAACATAAATTAAAACATTTGGAACCAGTATAAGTTACAAACAGAGCACACTTAAATGGTATAATTTGTTTTTAATTTAATCAGTCTAAATTGATTTATTTAGTAAGAGATCTTTGAAAGGTATAGATATGTATAAGTATTGCTCTGCTGTAGGTACATTAGTAATTGAATGGAATACTGAAATAGGTGTGTTAAATTTTAATCAGAACTTTGAATTTTTATTATTTACCTATTATAAAGATGAATAATTTAAAACATCATTTATTGATATTTTTATGGTATTTTAGATGCTTGTTTTTATAATATAAAACCTAATTTAAATACTTATTAGTTATTATTATATACTTATGAAAAAACAAAACAAGAAAAACTAAGGAAGTCTACTAAGGAACCCAGGAGGGTGGACCCCGGGTCTAAACCTCCCCCACCTTGACTTATATCATAGTATTTATTTTTATTTTTTAGAGCTATCCTGAAATTTTCATTACATTTTATTGATTAGATTGGTTATTAGATTTGGTATTTTTTTAATAACACGTCGAATTCGATGTAGTATAGATAAAATCAATATTAAGATTAATGTCTAATGACTATACCACAATTTAACTGACATAATAATAATAATTTGACGTACATTGTAAATATAAATTTAAAAATGTAAAAATATAATTATATTATATGATATAATTGTATTTATTAAGCAATAAAATGTATGTATTATTTAAGGAAAATAACTGAAAAACAATTGATAAATACAATTTATTGGACTCCCCCCCTTGAATAAATCCTGATTGTGACACTGCACTACACTTTATAGCGTATAGTATAAATATATACTATTTTAGATATTAAGTGTCATTGTAATGGATATGTCTCATCCAGTCATCCAGGGTATGTAAAATTAATTCAACAAAAAATATTACATAAAAATAATAATAAATTTAGTCTGTCAGTGATCACTGATCAGCTTATATTTTCATAAGAATATTTTACTATCTATATTTAATATGATAGAATTATGTTGCTATTATGGTAATTTTTTTTTTCAATTATATAGGCGTAATAAAGTACTTAATTTTATGGTAGGTTAAGATGATTTTTTGATAAAATGTATTTCTTATTTACTACCTACACTAATACGTAATATTTAACTTAAAATGTCTATACTTATTAAAAAAAAATAATAATGGTTATTGGTTATAATATAATAAGAAGATTTGAGATTTTTGTTTCTTTAATAAGTAAAAACAGCTAATGAAGAAAAAGAATCTTGTGCTTAATTTTTAAACCTAAATAAACGTAAAACATGTTATGAATATATTAAAATAGCTACAAAAAATTGTGCAAGTTTTTTCGAAATTTTTATTAACTTCAAATACATATAAAAATATAATGTGAGTATGCGCTCAATTTTTATTATTACAATAAGAAAAACTTATTTTCGTCTCCATAACAGTTGACCAGGGTACACTACTACTATTTATATTATATAAATAGTATCATAATATATATTTATTATTATTTATGTAGGTACATATATTTCATAATTAATATATTTATAAACGATTGAAAAATTACAACATGATGAGAATAATAGAATTTCATTTAAAAAATTTATTTTGCAATAAAAACTAGTATTATAGAAACAAGAAACGAAATATCGTGATCGTGTTGAAATGTCCATAGTCCATTCTATTCTGAATATTTAAAGACAATTGTAAGCCATATGACCATACATACATATTTGTGATTGTATTTTACACTGATATAATAAATAATGATTAATGAAAGCTAGTTTTATGAAAGCTGCTATACACCCAACATCCAACCATGCATTTATTTTTACTTTTTTCGTCTTGAAACATAACACATCAACATGTATGTTAATTTTTCATCATTGTCCGATAAGGTACAGATCGTCATTCGTCACTTAAAATCTTTTTTCTTTATCTTTGTAACCTGTAAAATTCTCTTTTTGTTACATCAACTACAAACTTATATTTATATTTATATTGATATTCTGTGCATCAATTATTATGTACACACTACACAGATGACAAATATAATTTTTATACATCTGTAGTCTATGCGCTTCACCAAGAAGGAGAAGTTGACAGCTGCCCGCCGAAATCCCCACTGTTTAGTGGCCGACAAACTTCAATCCATGGAAAAGCTGACTGAAAATCCGTGTTCCGTGCCGAAACCGTGACGGGCGTGACGTTCGCACTTTAGAAAAATTGTCGTTTTTTACGATATAAATTCGATGAAAACAAGAAAAAAAAAAATGATAATCGAAGAAAATATCAATAATAATGTGACCATAGACATGGCTGGTGGCGATGGTTTCAAATAATATAAACCATGAATTATGATTTATGATGTTAATAAATATTTAGTAATTGTGCGGCGTTTCGATTCGAATGGGTTACAGCTATTTTCTTCTCCATGATATTTGTGATGAGCCTGGTGTTGATTGGTTGCTGCAATCGGGATATCGGACAACACTAGCAGGCGGCTCCTATGGCCAAGTTTACAGGTTAGTGTAAGTAACTTTGCAGTCGGAAAAATCAAGTGAAGTTCTCAACGTTCCTCCCTTCGGTGTTTTAGTTATTTTTGTTATTTATATTTATTTTTAATTTTTTTAACTTTATTACGTAAACGTCTGTGTGTATGTGTTCTATTGTTACATTAATAATTATTTTTTACTTTTATAACGTGTGTCCGATTACGCTATTGTACGCCATTACTGCTGTCCCGGATTTGACGTGAGTATTATTATTGTCTTGTTGTTGTCACATAATATAATTATTATATCGTTATCGTTCAACTATATTCGTGAGGTAGTGATGGCAGGTCCTTGCCAAGAACGTATTGGAGAGACATGTACAAACGAAAAGAAGCGTGTCGGCGGTTACCGCTTTCCTTAAGCGGACCGGGGGGAGCGGGAGCGCTCAAACGTGCGTGTATAAACGATATGGCCGCCCGGCAGGTTTCCGCCAAAATTCTTGTGTTCGTTTTATTTAGTATAACTGTAATACTAGAATATTATGAAGACTTTCTTAAATACACGAAACTTTATATGCACGAAGGAAATGCATTAACCTTGTACTATCGAAACGACCATGTGAGATAGCGCCCCCGGGGCCGGAACAGATAATGTATAATGTATGGACCTTCGATATTGTGATGTTTCGCGAAAGTGTATGTGTAAGACAATCAAATATCTACGATATAATATAAATAATTCGTTGTTCAAATTCAAAGTTTAAATTTAACAATAACATATTATGTACAATATAATTTAAATTTTTTAATCAATAAAGTATTCAGCAATTAAAAATCTAATTTTATTTTGTTTAATTGATCAAAGTTTAGAGATTTTTAGTATATGATTTAATTGTTATTCACTATTGAAATTTGATAAGCTTTTACAAAATTATAATGAAGTATTATATATTTTTAAAAAAAAAGATAAACACTAAGTATATAAATAATTTATATTATATTTTCCATCTTTTTAATCAATTTTTTCATGGAAAATTATTTTATAACATTTATGAGAAAAAATTTACTATTTAATGAAGGGAATAACACTTTTAAGTACATCAATTATTATTTAAATGTCAAATTTATAGTTGATTATCAATTAGTTTTAATCAACACAGTTTTTAAGTTACCTAAAGTAAATTATTATTTTTTTTTACTATCACAAGTGATAATTTCACATTTTTATATACCTATTTGGTTATTAAAAAAAAAAAAAAATAGTTTGAATATCTTTATTTTAAACATACTTGTTTAAAATATAATTAACATTTATGTACCTAATAACAAAAATATGTCTGGTTGGTACATGATGATTATTTTTATTGAAGTTTCACGGTAATAGATTATTTTGCATATTTATTATTCAACTGTACATTTTGATTGTCTTATTAGTAAAAATTCCTTAATATTGCTAATATAACAAAAGATAATTAATAAAAGTTGTTTATATTTTTGAACATATAGATAGGCACCTTATAAAAAAATTCAAAAGGTGATATCAAAAATCAAAAATTTGTAATATATTATTTTGTCTTTCAGATATTTCAATTTACCGTATGATGAGTTGGAGTTATAATAATGCCAGCCGCAAGTAATCAAATAGGTTCTGCTTTGTTTCAGTCTCTTTCTAATAAAGTTACTGATCGGCGGATTCACCTCTCTTCTGTGGCAGAGGACCGTTCTAGCTATTTATACATAGCATCAAGTAGAATTTTAGATAAAAATATAGAATTTGAAATGTTAGACCATAAACCTTCAATGTTATCTCAGATTAAAAACAATTGTATCATGTTACTACAAAATGGCTGTAGTAAAAAAGATATGATTAAGAAAAATGAAAGGATGAATGGTGATATTAACAAAATATCCCATTTACCTAAACCTAAAGTAGTGTTATATCCTCCTGAACGCGTACAACTAGGCTGGCAAGATAAAAAAATGTCAGTTGGTTCTGGATTAGATAATCCTGGTGTAATATGTTACATCAATTCTACATTACAAGTATGTATAACAACTTAAATACGTTAATAATACATAAATATATATATTACTTTAATGTTATTTTTATAAATATATTTAGGCACTTTTTCATATTCCTGCATTTACAAATTGGCTAATGAATGACGAACAACATCAAAAAACGTGTCAACAAAAAAATAAGTTATAAATAAAATATTATCTATATAATTAAAGAAACTATTTAAAAAATAGAAACATATTGTATATAATTAACAGTTATAACAATATTATATTTATTTAATTATTTCATTATTATATTAACTCTGGTCATGTTTTAAATAGACATGTTTGAATATTTTTTATATACTTTTAGCTGGATTTCAAAAAGATTGTATTGTATGTATGGTCTGTAATACATTTACACTATCTCAAAAACATACAGGTTCTAGCTTCAAAGCATCAATTATAACTAATCGCCTATCTTGTATGTATAGCTTGCTAAAAATTAAATTGAAATTGAAACAAAAAAAAATAATTAATATTTAATTTTTAGTAATATGTAAACACTTGTCAACATATCGTCAAGAGGATGCCCATGAGTTCCTTCGTTACCTTATTGAAAGTATGGAACGGTGCTATTTATCCGTTTTAGGACATGGTGCTAAATCGTATGTATATCATATAAATATGAATAGAAGTATTAATACTGACATAATGTTGTCGTTTTAATTTTATGTTTAGTCTAGATAATTATTCTAAAGAAACTACACCTATTAACCAAATTTTCGGTGGTTATATCCGCACTGAAGGTTTGTTTATTTAAACAATTGATTTAGTGAATTAAATTCAAATTTAATATCTATTTTTAATGTTTAGTAACGTGTGAAAAATGTTCACACATATCAACTACATTTCAACATTTTCAAGATCTCATACTCGATATTAGGCATTCTGATAACGTTAACGATGCTTTAGACAATTATTTTGAAAAAGAACCATTAGATGAATCATATGTTTGTGAAAGATGTCGACGACAAGTTGCTGCCACTAAAAAGTTTTCCATTGAAAGAGCACCAAATGTATTATGCATTCAGTTGAAAAGGTAAATTATTTCTCAAATAAAAATAAACCATATATGTATATTATGGTGGTCACAGAGAAAAAACTAAAAAATAATAAATGTGAACTATTATATTACAGGTACAGTGTTGGCATGGGAGGATTCAGTGGAAATAAAAATAGTAAAGCTATTCAAATAAATGAAAGATTAGATTTATCTAGTTATCAATTTGACCGTCATAATTTAAAAATTGATGTTCGGCCATTAAGATACCGTCTGGTATCAATGGTAATTCATTATGGTTCAAGTTTAAATAGTGGACATTACACAGCTCTTGGTTTAACACCTTCTGGATCATATTATTATTTTAATGATTCAAATGTATGTATTTTAATTATCATATTTTTGTAACATTTATTTAATTTTAGATTATTAATTATGTTTGTAGGTTTATCAAACAAATTTCAAAAATTATTCAACAAGTAACGATTCTTATATAATATTTTATGAATTGGAACCATCAGGAAACGTAAATAATACAAATATAGAAAGTAAGACGTCAACTGTAACATCTACTTCAACTTGTAAACCATCTGTAAATGGTTTTTTTTCAAGTAAGTAATGTGTTTTATTATTTATTTTTTATGTATTTTATAATATAATCTATATTTGAATTTAGACAAGAGCAATGGAGTTACAAAGCCATTAAATGGTATTACTAAACCATTGAATGGTTTAAACAATATTAAAAAAAATATTATCAAAGACAAAAAAAGTCAAATCTACGATAAATGGGATTCAAATATTAAAATGTAACTAAATTATTTCTGTATTTTATCTTGTAGACTTAAATTTAAATTAATAATAATGAAACCAAATTATATATTTTAATAATAAATTTAATTTTAGGTTAAAACAAGGACAAGCAAAAGAGAAATCACTAATTGAGAACACATGTAATTCATATGATAAAACAATAGAACCTTCAATCAATGAAAATAAATCGTCATTAAATTATAATAGTTTAGTACCTTATATTGATTCAGATAAAGATGATAGTGATGATGAGAATAGTTCATTATCTGGGGAAGATAATGTTTCTTCACCTGTGATGTTAGGAAAAGTTAAACATTCGATAGACCAAAGAGTTCCTGATAAAAAGCCATTAGTCATGAGACCAAAGGAAGATCCTAGTGAAGTTGATACAGAAACACCACCTAAAAAATGTCTGGTATTAAAACCACCTAATGATGATTCTTCTATCAATGAACGAGAGAAAGAAATTCTGCCAGTAAAAAAATGCTTAGTATTGAAACCTAAAGATGAAGAACTGTTAGAAGTTAAACCTGAACCTGAGCCTGTCAAAAAGTGTTTAGTTCGAATTCCAAAAGACGATAATGAATCAAATACTTCTAAGGTACCACATTTGACTGATGGAAAAGATTCAGATAAAAAAAATCGTAAGCGAGAGAATGGAATTTTGGAAATGGATAGTAATAAACCAAAAGCTGCACGTCTTGATCACAATTATAATGGGTTAGTTTTATTATTATACAAGCTGACCCGGCAAACGTTGTTTTGCCATATAAATTATATCTAATGAATATTTTGGTATTCAAATAAAAAAAATTAAATTAGTGTAAGTGAGAGGGAATGTCGTATACTGGTATTTGACTGAGATGAATGGAGCACTGTAAATTATGACGGCCTATAAAAATAACAAAACACCAGATATCCTTACCGCCCATAAAGTAAATTTGTAAAAATGTATGTGGTTCTTTGGTATTGGTAGCAATGAGCCCACTCTATGATAAACTTGGCCTTTGATTTTGAATGTTGAATTAAATTGTTGAGCATTTGCAGCATTATTTTTAACTATTTCTGTTGCTCCGAACGATATAATTTGGAAACATGAATTGAATGTTCGAATTGACTTCAGGATTATGTTAAAATCTGGATCCGTACCGATAAGTAAACCGTTCAATGGTTCAAGTAGTGTTTCAATTTCCAGTTGTTGCACTTTTCCTGACGCGCAACACATACCGGCTTTCTCGTTTTTGAACTTATGCACATTACAATTTGGACATTCCTTGTCTATAGCACTAATCTTTACTTTCGAATGACCGTAATATTTAATATCGGGCCATACTCGAATGCTAGACGAAGGAATGAATTGGATGTAAATGCTCTATGTACTTGTTGGTGTTGTTGGTCATTTGCTCTGCGTGTGTCAACTACTAATTGACGCGCTTCTAATCGTCTTTTTTGATTTTGTTCAGCTTGTGCCTCACGCAATCGCACCATGTGTACACATGCATTTTCATTATTCAGTTGGATTTGTACGTCTCTTCTTTGTACTCTTTTGTTCGATGGGCCAAATCAGACTCCTTGCGTCTTGCTGGCATTGTAAAAAATACGCAAATCGATACAATTAAAGTTCATATATGTGATTATTAACCTTTCTTATAAATGAGAGTAAGCTTATTGTGTTAGACTGACCCATTCAACGGTCGAGTCGTTTCTGATGAATTCGTTAAATACGATATATACGTGGTTGTTTAATATTATGAAAAAAAGATGGAAACGTACTCTACTAAATAATTGTAAATATACAATCTATAGTTCCCTGGCAACAACTGTTGTATCTTATTTTTTTTATTTTATTTTTTATTTTTTTTATTTTCCATTGCCGATATCCAACAGTTTTTATAAATATTTGTAGTGGGCCACCCTTTACATCTAGGGGTATGAAAATTAGTTTACATCACTCTCTGAGACCTACTTAATATACACTAAAGATTTCATGAAAATCGGTCCAGCCGTTTCGGAGGAGTTTGGTTACAAACTTTGTGACACGAGATTTTTATATATTAGATAATTATTATTCAAAGTTTTTCTATTATTTTATTTAGTATTGTAGTTCTGACTAACTGTTCATATTATTATACATTTAGTATTTATTATATAATACAAAGGTATACATTTTTCAAACTCACCAAGGTTTATCATCAAAACTATTTCTATTTAAACATTTTCCATTTATTTTGCTATTAATTGTTGATTTAGTTCAGTAACATTAAAATTGTATTATATAATATATACTAAATATAAAATGAGTCTTACTGTTAGTCAAAATTATAATGTTATAGGATTAAGTCATCAATTGATAGCAAAACAATTTGAAAATGTATACATAACATAATTTATTTTAATGTTAAAATTCAAATTAAGGTAGTTAATCTCTGTTGTTTTTCTCTTCTTTTTTGAATCTCTAGTGGTATGATATGCTACATTCCTTATAGAGTTTTTCATATTTTAACCATTGATTTTAGTTGATGTATCTCATTAAATTTTTACTTTTTTATTTTAGGAGTAAGTTATCAAATGGTAATAACTTTAAGCATTCAAACGGAACAAAGAACTGGTAAGTTACACATATTAATATTAGTAGTTATAATAAATTGTTGTTTTTGTGCATGATAATAATAAATTAAACATTACTGCTTTTAGGCCCAAGTTTACAAACGACTTTCAAACTAATGGTATTAGTAAATCAAATGGCAGCAATTTTAAGGATAGTATGAAGTCAAGAACGCATTTGGGTTTTGGCGGAGATGGTAAATATGCATTATGTTATTTTTAATTTTGTTCATGTTTATAATTTATCTGAACTGAAGCCATAACTTGCAAATCATTGAGCATGGTATTACTAATATCTTTAACTGAGCAATTTTTTTTTTTTGTGTTTTAAACTATTTTTAATTATAATATTTAATTATTTTGTAGTTCTTAATTTATGTGTACGTTATTGTTTTCTCAATTTTACAAGATGACTGCATAAAAACGTACGTTATTATTAATTAATAAGTAATAATTTAAATATATGTTGACTAAATTAATTGTTTGTATTTTAGAAAATTAATACATTCATTGTTCGTGTTCTTAATAATTAAATTACTTATTTTTAATTTATTATTTAAAATCAAGTCATAATACTATTATTGTTTAATTTAAGCTATTAATGATAAAAATTTATCTACTATAATGCTGATCATTTTTGAAGACAAACCTTATCACCACCTACCTCTGAAGAAGCATTACCTAATTCATTATTTAGTATAGTATGGTATTTTATGATACTATAATGGTATGGTACTTTTATTTTGAGACTTAATGATAATAGATAATTAATGCTCATTTACAGTTCAATGAGCAATGGTTATACATACTTATATGTTGTAAATAGTACAATTAATTAATAAGTTATGATTAAAGATGTTTCAAAGTTTGCTGATGGCAAGTGATAAGATTTAATTCAAGAATTCTGAAATTTATTGATGACAACGTTATCACCACTTATCTCTATAATAATTATATGAAAATAATTAAAATAGTTTTATAATTCATAAATAGTTTACAGTGTTAACAATATTACTACCAATATTCTTTCATTTCATTGTAAGAAAATGAAAAAAGTAGGAAATTGCGCTGCTGTACTGTTATAGTTGAATACACCTTTGTCATCGAGTAGATAGTAGATTACTTTGATGAATATGTAGGTGAGGTTCAGGTCTGATTCAACATTATTTTTGCAAATGTACACATCTTTACAGCATGCTTTTTTCTATGCGTTATCTGTATCATTGATAATGTGTACAGTCTTATTTATTTATTGATTTTACGGACTTAAGCCCTATGAATATTTATAAATTGATTATAATTGTAAAGACAGACAATATAAAATAACAGATTATATTTAAACTAATAATTCATATCACAAATTAGTTACAAAACACTTAAATTTTAAAAATGAATGTGTATTCTATAATCTTATTTAGCTTCCTAAATGTAGTATCAAAAAAATACGTGCAAAAAAAAAAAAAATTGAATTTATAGTATACATGTTTCAGACTTTGAAACCGTTAAATAATTAATTTGTATGTGTGACTTATGAATTATGATATTATGTGCATGGTAGATAATTAAGAAGACCTAATCTAACTTGTGTATTAGTAACATACTTTATAGCAAATTTGCAAGGAGCTTAACCAATTTTGTATATAATACCAACACTTTGGATCAAGTTAAATGCATTAATATTATTGTTCAATATTGTATTAATTAAGTTAATATGTTCAATTTTGTAAAAATATGTAATTGAAGGAAAAATTATGTCATTGGCATCATGAACATTTGAATGCCTGTTGCTAAGGCATTCAGTAAAGAACCTCTAATTTGGATCTGCAAACCACTGCCCTATGTAATCTTCATATTTATTGTCATTCCACTCTAATATTTAAGTTTAAAGTACAAAATTGGTTCTACTGAATACGAATCTGCTATGTTATATGTTCTTAATATTAAGACAATTTATGGTTGATATTGGTGTCCTCTTAATTCATAAATATATGCTATTTTAAAAACTGGCACAAACATTTACTGCTTTAATTATCTTAGTTAAAGTATTCATATGTTTCTAGCTTAACTTGAATATTTTTATTTTATCTATTAAATAAGAATGATTTATACCATAGATTTCATATAAAATTACTAGTCTTATTTAATTTCTCATTTTGGCTTTAGTTTATACTAGTTTATATTTAAGTTTCAAAAATTTTTCTTTTATTTCTTAAACGTTGAATCATTTTGAGTTTTAGGATTTGGGGCTGAACCTTACATTATCAAGTATGTATCTATAGGCACTAATAAAAATTGTGAATTAGTTGAACCAGTGAATTTTATATGCATAATAAATGCTTGTTATATCTTCAGGTCAACTTCACTAAAAAATTTTTTAAGTGCCTTAGTGTACTCAATGATTGTCTACTTCAGGTGGCCCTGGATCCACTCAGTGAAAAATATTATCATTCAACACATTGGTTGTGGCAAGGTCCATTCAAAAATACATAATTAGTTACTTGATTTTTTAAAGTGGTTAATAAAAATTACAATTGAAAGATTTAATAATTGACAGTTGTACTCTAAAGATTAGAATACATATAATAACTATTGAAATATTATTGAATAAAGTATAAGTTATGCTTAATTTCATCTCCAAATTGTTGTAATTATTAATTATCAACATATATTTTAAATAACAATTCCATGCATCTGAATGACTTCTGAAATTCTCCTATATAAACATATTAGTGTCAAATAATGTTTAGTATGAACAATGGTAATTAATTTTTAGAAACCTCAAAAATTAAAATTATTATTATATTGATAAATATTTTATTATTTTTATTATTGTTGTTTTTAGTTAAAACTTGGAATGGGGAAAAAAGTTTTGTAGACCGAGAGGCTGAACAGGATAAAATTAATGGAGTTAAACGTTCATTTGATGATGAGTATAATGAAGATTTTGACAGAGGAGTTGTAAGTATACTTGAATTATTTTTAAAACTAAGTAAATTATTAAATTATTATTATCTTATTCTAAGTTAACTATAGAAAATTGTATTCTTGAATATTCTTATGCTGTGTTTTATAAATTTCTACATATTTTTAACTCTAGAATACTGTAAAGTCTTTAAGTTAATTTTTTTACTCTTATGTATAATTTATTTTTCATAATAATGTAACCTGTAAACTTTAATAATTTAATATTATAAATAACATACAGTGAAACCTCGATTATCCGAGTTAATAGCTGTTAAAGAAAACATATTTTATTTGTTCTGTCAATTTTTTTAATTTTTGAACCATATACACATTTAGATTGTTTTAAATAATAACAAATTAAATATTTTAGGTAAAAAAGAAAAAATTTGATAATAAAAATCATCATACAAAAGAAAATGGTACAAATGCCTTACAGATGTTACATAATCAATTAAATCAATTTAATGGCAAAAAGGGAAGAAATAAAATCACTTGGATGAGTCGAACCAAAAATTACCGGCAATATAACAATGAATATCGTTACAACAACAGTAATGGTAATGGTGGAGGAGGATATAAGAAACACAGGTATAATAATAATCGACGTCATTGGCATAAACAACGTTAGACCTTTTGTCTTAAATTTTGTATATAAAAACATTTTGTAAAATGTTGTAAATTTAATAATAATCTAGGTTTAAATTAAATTTCAAATGTAATGTGTTAAGTATGACATTAAATTAAAGAAAAAAAACTATTAACTTTAGAAGTTTTAATTAGAAAATAAAAGTTAATTAAAAATTCCATTGCCTTCTGCCTTGATTTCAGCTCGGCTGAAGGGAATACTCTAGTCTGTATTTTTGTTTTTGAAAATTGATAATCAAGTTAAATTGTTATCCGTGTTATTTTTTATAATTACACAGATTTAATAATATTATTACTAATATTATTTATAGCTGTTGTAAGTATTTGACAAATAATAATAATTTTTGCAATATTTCTCAAAATTAAATTACATTTTTTAAACAATATTAAACTCATTATTTCTTAATAAATTTATAGTTTTATAGATCATATTTTTAAGTACATTTTTTATGTCATAAAAAATTGTACATTATTAAATTTCTTCTATAAGACCATTTATTTTATTCTATGAATGTACTTTATTTATCTTAATTTGTACTTTAGTTAATGTGTTTTCTATTTACAAAATACAATTTTTATTTTATCCATATCTAATTTAATATTAAAACTTGAAAAAAAAAATTTTTATTTTATTTATTTAAAGTAAATACATAATTTTTTATTAAGATTATTAGTTTTTTTTCATATATATATATTTATAAATCGTCATTTGTTCAATTTAATTTTTAATGAAAGAGAGCAATTAACTTAAGTATTTTTTGTATAGTTATAATAATTATTTTTATAAAATTTGTTTATTTAATAAATAAATTATGTATCATGTAGGGTGGGATGGGATTTAGATTAGTTATTACCTATATAAATAGTATTTTTCATTTTCCTTGTTTAAGTTTAGAAAATAAAAACTAGTTTTTTCAACTGTATTTGGATGCTGTAAATGTTAGCAATGTTTAAGTCCCTCAAATTATCACCACATACACACTTAATATTCAATTACCGTCTCGTGATTCGTAGAATAAAATTGTGTGGGCACATTGTTAGTATGACTACTTGTAATTTTTTTTAAATTTCTAAGTTTATAGGCTCTACTGAAGCGTCTGTTGTTATAACAATGTTTGTACTCCGATTTTCACGTTCGGTTCCTAACTTCAGAACATCCAGTCTACAGTGTTGTTGTTGCTATTATTATTATAATTTTATAAATATATATAATGTCTACAATCGATAGGTCATTAACAAAGAAAATATTTTGTTTTTAACCTCTATATAGTAAAAATATTGCTTTTTCTTGTATATAAACTATGTAATTAAATTTAGGAACATACTAAGTGTATACAATATTACTTTGTTGAAATCTTAAACAATAATTCCACTTATAATCTCAAAATACTTATATGTATATATATATAAAACTTATAATATATACATAGATAAATTCATCACATTTTATTGATATATTGTACTTTATAATGTAGTGATTCTAATGATAAAACATCTTGGGACTGTAATTCTATACACAATGTAAACTTGAATATAAGATATACCTATCTAAAATTTGTAAATAAACATGTATGTGTATTATGTACCTATCATTTGTAAAAATTGAATTGTATTGCTTAAAAAAATGTTTTTTATGTATAGTTAGATAGACAAATATTGTAAGATGACTATTATGTGTGATTAAATGTGAAGTATGAATTAAAAAAAAAAAATAAAGAATTATATAATATGTCAATTTGAATTTACACATAATCTTTTTTAGATTCTAAGTGGAACGATGAATGTATTGATTTTACAATGTTTTATTTTTCTGGGTGTTCATAATAAGTAGTTAAAAAAATTGGTTCAATTTTGAGGGTAGTTTTGGATAGCAAATTGGATTTAGTTTTAGCTTTAGAAAGGAAAAAATTAATTAATTTTTATGTACATCTAAAAAATTGTTGTCAATAATTGAATTTGTATAAAATTTCTCATTTTGCAGTATTTTTTTTTTTTATATGAGAAAACAAAAAACTAATTTTTACGTTAATCCAATTTTTGACAAATATGTTTTGTTTTTTCATAAATGTCGATTAAAAATTATTTGCTAGATGGAAATGTTTGAAAATATAGCTCAAAACTCCTCATAATTAAAAAATATTGAAGATTTATTATCATAATATTATTTTTTTTATAAAAATTTAAAGTTGGAATCTTGACAATATTCATAAAAAAAATTTTTATAATCAAGATTTGAAAATTTAATATAAGGCTCTTTTTAAGTTTTTCAACTTATATGTAAATTAGAAATTTTACTGGAAAGTCAAATCAATGTTTAAAGTAATATGAAATAAAGCAAAATTAATTAATTAATTTCATCCATAAAATTTT